GCTCGGGCAGGGGGCTGGGTCTCGGCGGGAGGGCGGGGCTTCGAGAGCTCGGGCAGGGGGCTGGGTCTCGGCGGGAGGGCGGGGCTTCGAGGGCTCGGGCAGAGGGCTGGGTCTCGGCGGGGGGGCAGGGCTTCGAGGGCTCGGGCAGGGGCTGGGCCTCGGCGGGAGGGCTGATTATGCAGGCCTCCTAGTGCGACCTTGGCACTAGGCGGAGCGCTGCGGCTCCCACCCAGCCCTAGTACAAATGTGGCCAAATAGTAACGAATCTGCAGGTTCCGCCCATGCGGCAAGCAGGGAGGAAGCCTCTCTGCGGGGCGGGGGAGGAGGAAAGGATATCTTCTGGGCGTCTCGTGTGTGTGTGTGTGTGTGTGTGTGTGTGTGTGTGTGGTATATGTTTGTCTGTGTGACACAAGGTCTCTATGCTTGTGTGTGTGTGTGTGTGTGTGTGTGTGACTGAGTATCTGGATATGTCTGTGTGCCACCACGTGTGTGTCTGCAACTTTGTGGGTCTGTGTACGTGTCTGTGTGTGTGTGTGTGTTTGTGTGTGAACCCCTGAATTGTGTATACACACCCAGAGAAGGGCCTGTAGTAGGTCGAAGCCTGGGAATGAGGGCGCAGTGTGCCCTCACAGTGGTTGTCATATAGTTTACTCTGTTCCTGAGTCCTTTTGGGAGAAGAGCTGGGAGAGGAAATCGCAGACTTCAGCACGCGTGGCAAGCAACCAGGGTTCTTACAAAAACAGAGCTTGGCTCCTGAAGATTCCTGTACTAAATAACTGTACTACGGTTCAGGAATCTCCATTTTCTAATGTAAGGGATCTGCAGATTATAACTTCAGATGCAAATTGTGAGGTGAAAACATCTGTATTGATTGCGTTTGTTTGTGGTTAGTGTTTTTGGTACAGGCTCTCACTAAGCAGCTCAGAATGTAGTAAACCCACCCCACCCACCCCACCCACCCCCGTTTTCCCAGCCACCACCTTGGGGGCGGGAATCCGGTCCCTGCCCTTGCCTAAACCGGGGCTTCATCAGCTGAGCTGTGTCGTCAGCTGAGCTGTGTCGCCGCCCTTGCGTTGATTGTTGGCGGATGGGAGTGTGGGAGAAACTGACTCTGTGTCTGGTATCTACCTCCAGAGAAAGGATTCATTAAGGGCTTAGTTTTGAAATGGCTGTTAGGATAAGTTAAGTTAGACTGAGAGAGAACAGAGGTCACTTCCAAACATAATATGTGACATAATTAAAAGGGACTCTAAAGTATTGTCTATGTTAGCAACCATAGAATCTAATCTGATTGGAATCGGTAGATCTACTAAATCTGGGAGACCCGTGGAACACATGGACCTTAAAGGAAAGACAAAGCGACATAAAAAGGATAAAGTAGACCTACAAACTGGAAAAGTTGATCTATTGTCAAATCAGACCAAGATTAGTGTCAGGAGAAGCAGGATTCGTGAGCCGGCTGGACACGGGTAATAATGTATTAATTTGGGACATGAAGGCTTTGAAGCATCTGCAGAGTGTCTAGATTTGGGTGTCCAAAAGACAACTTGAAATCCATTTAATCAGCACTTTATCTTGAATACCCACAGTATTTAGGCTCCAAATTAGGTGACAAGACAAGGACATGATCTGTCTACTGGGGTCAGAGAGCTGACAGTCCAGGGCTTCAGACAGGTACAGCACCCACAACTGACTCTGAAGACTCAGAATGAGGTTCTAGGGAGTGAAGGGCAGGAACATTCAGCCAAGGAGGGCCTGAGTCTGGCATTATGGCTTGACTGTGCACACCCAAAATGTGGGTGTGGAAGCCATAGCCTCCAGAGTGACTGTATTTGAAGATGGGGCCACACAGAAGTCATAAAGGTTAACTGAGGTCATAATCAAATAGGGCTGATGTCCTTATAAGAAGTATACTCTCCCACATGTGGGTACAGGGAAAGGCTGCCTCCTGTAAGCCATGTAAAGAGCCCTCACCACCATCCAGAAATGGAGCATGTAATCTTGATCTTTCAGCAGAAGCGTGAGACATTAACCTTCCGTCTTTAAGCCATTGACTCTATGGCACTGTGTGACAACAGCCTGAGCCGGCTAAGCCAGATAACTTCTTGGAGAAAGTAGCATTAAACCCTGTGGCCAGAGATGACCCAGGCCTACATATCCTGAATAGAACCAGAGCACAGGCCCAGTGTGTGAGAGTGCAAGCTCAGCGTGAAACCCTTCAGCAGAATTCCCTGCAAAGAGGCTAGAGACAAGACCCACCGAGCTGATTCAGGAGCAGAACATCTTGCCAGAGTGACACAGAGGGCTCAAATCTAATGGCTGCAGCAGAAAGAAGTGGAGCACAGCAGCCAGATCTAAGCAACACCCACCTGGAGGAAT